GCCAGTTATAGCAACTGTGTTAATTATGTCGATGATGATGGTGCTAGCACAAAATGGCGACACCAGTCAAAGTTGCAATCAAAATGTGTGAGAAATGTAGATACATGTATCTGCTATCCCTGCTGAGAAAAATGCGGTTTACATGTCGACAAATACTTCGGGAACCGAACGAGTGAAAAGTCCTCAGCAATTATTTGTTCTGTACGGAAAATCCGTACTTTTGCTGGCACTGCATTAATACTATCATGCGCATGCGTCAATAATTACGAGAGGCTATTGACGACGCCCCATGGTAGTGTAGCACAAAAAAATGCCACCCTAAACTAAGTCTGAATAAAAAAAAACCAAAAAAACGGAATTTGGGGAACTCGCTAAAAAAAACTTCAAATTTGATCGGGTAGGGAGGAGTCGCAAGGAAAATTACGTGGAGGCAAACGACCGCAAATATTATAGAAAGGAGGAAACAAAACCAAAAAAATGAAATTCCAAAATTTATTGCTTAGGGGCAATGCTCAACAGAATCAAAACAACAATATAAAAAAAGGAATTGTCTAACCACAAACTCAATCAAACCTGTGATCAAAATAAAAAAAAAATGAAGAACCAGTGTGATGTCTGGGCAGAATGGGACTAGATTAACTTTGACCTTAAAAAAACCGCACTTAATTAAATCACGTCAAACTAAAAAAAATAAGATGCCAATGAAACTTTGCTGGTCAAAAGAAATAGGAGCGTGGATTCAACAAAATTTAGAGTCAAGCAAATACAAGCAAAAAAAATGAATGAATTTCAACAAAAAAGAAAACCTAACCACAAGCAAAACTAAAAAAAAACAGAAAGCCAACACAGCATATAAGAGGGTTGCAAAATAAACACAACAACTTTGACAACCTGAAACATTAAAAAACAAAGAAAAACAAATGAATACATGAAAAAGTTTGACGGTCATACGCAAAAAGTAACTTTAAAAGTTAAACAAGGTAAATGTTATAAGTCTACAAAATAAGTTGACCAGTCCCTAGTTCCATAATTAGTTCACACAAACCATCTGGCTCTCCTAACAAAAACCACTGCCAGAGGTGCATATAGCAGTCCAGGCTACCAAAATCCCTGTGAATACCTCATGAGCTGATAAGACTATCCCTGCCTTCCAGGTCAGCTGGGCACAGACAAACCAAGTGCTCACCCCGGCTAGAGGAGACTTTAGTCCTCCCACCACAAATCAATCAGCGACACAATCATTCTGTATAAAAATGACCGGAGTTAATATTAACAAAAGGACTAAGGAACAAGTCTAAACTGCTGAAACACTTACTCCACTGTAAAGCACCTCTCCTTACATACAGGACTACTGATCTTATGAATGGGACTATACTACATGCATCAGTTAAAGCATGAAAGTAAATGTACATGTACATGTATATGTAATAGACAAAGCAGGAAAGAAAATCAACGTTGAATACTTAGGCTTAAAAAAACAAAGTGAAAACAGCTGTGAAAGTGAAAAAAAGACGTTTGAGAACTTGAATCCTTCCAACACAGGTATGCAGGGCAAAGTAATACATTTTAGTCATAACTGTGGCACAAACTACACAAACCACGATGAGGAAAAGTTAAAACTTGTCAAAACCAAATTCCTCTAGTTTTCCATTCCAACAGCAAAGAATGTCACTAATAAAGACAGAGCAATAAAATGGTAAACGTAATCTAGTAAGAATGCATAAAAATCAGGAACAGGAGTAAATGTGTAGAATTCATGAGTCGAGCACAAATATGACCATGCTGTAATAACCATCTCTAACAAGTTACACGTATTTCATAAAACATGAAATAAACTTATTTTTCAAAATAAGACTTAAGGTTGACCGAGAGGATGGAAACTCAAGTACACGTACACATGTACCTGACTGTATTCATTGTATTTTTACAACAAAAAACTTCACAATGTAATAAAAATATCCTAAAAGGAACCTAGGGTAATCTACAGCACATAATAAACAGTTTCATTAAGGAAAAAAAAGTAAAATAGGGGAAACTTCCCGAATAAAACGGCAGACTAAGCGAGGGGCAGAGAACTCATAAAAATGTGGTGTGTGTTCTTCACTGCCAGTCTGCAAACTGAGGGGGTCTAGAAGGAATGCTGAGCACATGGTGCTAAATCAAAGGGACTCTTTGTTCAAGGGTCTAATTACTGTAAGAATGATGTTACCTTACCAGGTGAGGGTCTAGCTTAAAAAAGAAATCATTTTCCAGGAGAGGGAACTGAAGTTATTGTATATGTAGGAGATTACAATCATCCTCCTTACACTCGCATGTGCCTTCAACAGAAAAGCAATAGGAAGTGTTGACCTCTTGGTCATGGGTTGCACAAAATTCGGCCAATGAGAGCTGAGAGCGATTTCCCTTCCCAGCGCCCTGTATCATTGTATGGGCGTTTTGGACGATTAATGAATATTATTCCTGGATGGACTTCAGCTCCCAGAAAGCATTACGAAACCCCACTCAAACACGTGGCAGCCACCCATTTTAGTTGGTAGCATCCGTAGTGATCCTGACACTTGACATGCCGTGAGCTTATACATTTGGCATTTACGTGTTCATCCTCAACAGTTTAGTGGGACGTCAGTGAACGTAAAGGGCTTTGGCCATAGCAACATGAGGAGCAATAACATGATTCAATTCTACATTTCCGAAAAGAATGTGCTATCAGCCGGGGTGAATGCTCATAGCTGCATAGCTACTGCATGACTGGAGTTATTTACATAACAAAGATGCCTGCAGTTCCTGGGACTTCTGACATTTTATTCTTTATACATGCCTGACAAAACAACTACAATAGCATAAATCGATTTAGTATTTGCTCTGATTGGAAGGGGGAAGATGTTTACCCTGTTGAAAATTGTTTTGTTAAATTGGCTAATTTATAGATTTTAAATACAAAGTCTGCAGCAAGCTGGCCACTTACTGACCAAAGCATACAAATCCATGACATGGGACAAAGATACCATGGTTTCTACACTCATATTATAACACCATTTCTCCAAAATCAAACGAGTCATCGACACCACAAACTGACACTCAGGCTGCATTTGAATCTCTTGTCTAGAGCTAGGTCTTCGCTCCAATGGAAATGCGTGGAGACGCGCAGACAATAGACGTAGCCGTAGCTCTGGAAGCCCGTTTCGGACACGGCCACAGTTGCAAGTGGGTGTCAGTTCGTGAAAACTTCACTATCAACAAATTCAGTTTCACGAACCAGCACACGGTAGTGCGCACGCACATCAGACACTGAAGCCAAACAAACTGTTGGTTTCAAGAACTGACACCCAGGCTTGTTATGGCAATTCAGTGCGGAGAAGAATTTAATTCATCCATATACTTGCTGCCTTACCCCAAAATTTAATTAAATTCGTTTTAACTAGTGAAATTAAGATTGCATCATTTTGTGAAAACGAAAATGCACGGAGTGCCCGCGAACAGTGTCGCACTGTACCAGGTTCCAGTTCGGGAAACCGCCTACTCGGTTCTCTTAAATGTGCATAAATCAGATAACCTCGCACACGGCTGTCAGATTGTGGTGTCGGTGGTATATCATTTCCTTTCTCCTAGTAGAAATTGAAGTTGTCAGATATAAAACAAAACAGTTAAGACTCTTATCCAAACAACAATTAATTATTAATTGGTTAAAAACACGAAGGCGAAATATTTTAACAACTCACACCACTTGCAGGGCAAGAACTGCCCCACTGTAAGCACCTGTCCCAGGCCTGTAATTGTCTCCCATGAGAATGCCATACACGAATCCCGACTGTTTCAACAACATGTATTAGGCAGATGGGATATTTAACATGAGCAATAGACATCATACAGGAAATCGATAATGTTCTTTTGTCTGCTGATATTATCATGCATGTGCATGAGCATGAAATTCAATGTTCTCTGAAATGAAATCATGACGAGAGGTTTATCTATAGATATTGACAAGTGAAACGCTGTTAATGTTTGTAAACAAGGGAACCAAAACAATGATGTGAAAACTAGGCAGATGGTGTATACATGTGCAACCATCTCTGTAAACTAGAAGCATGAGAGGCTAGGCCACCTGACATACATTAGCCTGGCCGTGTTGGTCACTGACTGTTGCATCACGTGATTTTTTTCAAGACAAGTAAGCCCAGTAGTACGGTGGTGGCTGTTGTTGCATCTAGGAACTCGAAAAATAATGATTGAGTTTTCAAATGGAATTTCACCGAGTTATTTTTAGGCCAAAGTACAAGGCCCAAAGTATCAGCTTGTATCGTCCTTTCTAGAAATGCATGGAGGGAGTTTGACCCCACCCCTCCCCTGGATCCAGGCCTGGGGGGCCCTTGGGTTTCCTGGCTTTTACCGCTATCAACCAGTGAGCCCGGTCACTCCACTACGATACCAGACGCGACCAACGTTTCAAACGGAGACTTTCTACCAACACATGTACATGTATTCCACGATTAGGGCAGCAGCTTCGTATCAATCCAAGCATGATTGCACGCAGTGGAACCGTGACACAATGCCACCTCATCGTTAAAGTAATAGGTCTGCTCCCGTAATGTCAGTGATGCTAATGAACTTGAAAACTACACGAGGTTACTTACAAGAATTGGCCACACCTCCATAGGCGTAAATACCGGGGATGGGGGGGGTATATATTCCCCACGTTTTGAAGTCACATCATTGCTTCAGGTCATATCATTTCTTCAGTTTAGCCCAAATGAACAATAAATCTTCACAACATGTACAGAAGTTAGGCTTCGACCTTGAGTTCACGCAAATGTGTGAAGTTTACTGTATAAATAGGGGTGTGTGACACAAAACTCACCGAGAGTGAGTACATAACACACAAGCGTACACATACATTGAAGGGGTCTGGGTCTATTTCTCTTGTTTGTTTTTGTATTTACTTTTTTTGGGTTGTTTTTCACAATTCTTTACAACAATTCCGAAAATATCCCACAAATTACTTGCCTGTAGGCATACATACATTTACCTACTGAAAATGATAGCGTCTGGCAAGTCTGGCACGCCAACGTTTTAACACAATCATTGCAGCTCTTTCTTAATGTATTTCGTCATAAAATATACACGACCAGAATAACCAATACCTAGGCTTTACTTCGAACGACTTCTGAGTAGGCAAATTTGTCTGACAAAATAGCGGAGAAAAAATGAGACTTGCGTTGAGGTCAAATTTGACGGACTCAATTTGGATTTGAACAGTATAAGTTTTAATCATGTTAAAGCATTATGACCTAGGTTTTTATACGCTGAAAAAACGAAATTAATACCACGAACGGTGTAGAAGATGTGAATTACAATTACCAAGAGCTCGGTCATTCATTCGTTTTCAGACTGTATTACACAATGACTGTGGTTGTTCCCAGAGTTGTTACTTATGTTGTGGCTACGTCCGAATTCATATGGGGGGGATGCATGGGCAATTGAATCATTCCCCCACTATTATGATGAGCAAAAAAATCTAAGCGGATGGATTATAAAGAATTTTCACTTTCAGGACTTCCCATAATAGTAGCAATATCACTAAAAAGGGAAAATCAATTTTATAAAGCCATAAGCATATGCCATTCTGATGTAAGATTCCGCATGATTTTGATACACATTACAGATGCGGATCTTTATCATGAACATCTCCACCTATATAGAGTATATGGTGTACCCCCTCCCCCAGTTTCAAATTTCCATGGCCAGGCAAGTCATCCCTGAACTTTCTCCATTCCCCACCCCCCCTATTTCCAGCACAGATTTACGTCACTGCACACCACACCATGCTAATTAAGACGGACGTCAGAGTAGTACCTCATGAAAAATTAAGCAAAAGCAGGAGTTGGCATGGACAAACATTTTTGAACACTTTAAAAACTTCCCTTTATGGGTCGACTAAAAATTGTGCACAGTATGGGTTGTGCCCTTCCCCACAATTTCCCCGCAGGTGTTTGGAAAGACAATTACTGACTTCGTCAGTCCCTCTGCTCATATACAGGTATGCTTCATTCACTCGTTAAATGTACAAGTTGTCTTACCTCTGCCACTTGTTATACCTCCATATCCAATTCTGTTCTGAATTCAAAACTGGAAGTATTCACTTTGATATTTTTCAAAGGTTCCCTTGTCAGAATTGTCTGATCATGATTTTGATAACAGATTTTCTGGATTTCACATCAAAATAATTGTAATAAAAGGCAAAACAACAATATGCTTAACTTTCCGTATATTATGCCATGATATTTTAGGATTATAAAAAATATTACAGCCAGATTGTTTGAGATACAGGGCTTGTACAGGATCTATTCTAATTAATGTCCTTTTTTGCAGTGATATTGCCAGATTAAGTACAATCAATAAAGATATATTTGCCTGAAGACCATAGCTCTCCAGGAGGAGAAAGGGTCGTCGTATATTTATTTCAAATGATACAGTTAGAGAAGTTTCAAAAAGCTTTGTGTAAGGAGTGCAGTCCTTTGCCTGTGGCTCTTCTGTCACGAAAACCTCAGGTGTCCTTGAGTGGCCTGCCTGGCGAAAACCGCAAAGTGTGTGTGTGGGGGGGGGGTGTATACAAATACTGATAACTTCATTCCGGGAAGATTGTGGGGAAGTTTTCAGAAGCCTTCGACATTCCACCGCAACACTCTTCCGCTGTATATCCCCAACTTCTCCAGGACGAGATTTTAGATAACTCCTAAATCTATGCCTGTGCTGCGCGTGCGTCTGTTCTAACCAGTCACTCGTGGCGGCTACCTGACCTAAAGAATCTCACAAACTGTCGGTATCTTTTGGTCTAAGAATTACCACTTGTATATAGCCCCATCTGTTGACAATGCCCTGGAGCCGGCTTTCCTCAAAGCATGATTGTGTATTGTTATGACATCGGCTTATTCTCTTCCGCAAGACAGATGATGGATTGACATATCATCATGATCATTTTCTTGAAAAGACCTGCAACATAATGACGCCACGCTTTGTTTAAATGACTCGTGTGCTTTCCTACTTAGGCTCAGACGGATCATGTCCCAGTACTTTGCCACAGGAAAGTGCACATGTAGAAATAGCGTGATGTCATTATTTTAAAAGTCTGATAATGACATGCAATCAGACAAGGTAAAGTGGAATCTGACTTATTTCTCCCTGTTGTGAACGACCTTGATTACTCTCTGACAGTTACAAGAATATTGACGAGGATTTTGACGAGTATGCAGTTCATGATGTAAGGAATTAACCTCAATCGCATAAATCGGCTGGAGAGAACACAGAAACGCACTCTCAAAATCAAGCTTGGTTCTGAAATCTGCAGTTAGGAACAGGATCTTCAAATCTGAAATCGTGTCATCCTCAAGGACACAAACAGAGTACAAGTTACGAGAACTTGTTCGAATCAGATAGTTTGAGAGATTGGTTACCGAAGCAGATTAAAGATAATGTGCAATATAATCTCAGAAACATCTACTTCTACTTGAAATGTAGAACCCACAGGCATAAAAAAGTGCAATTCCTTATTTTGTTCAGCTGATGAACGAACTTCAGGTAACTCGGTTGGCAAATGAACTGGTAAATGCTTTAAGATAATTTTAAGTCATTTCGTGAATCTCTGCTTCGAGCTTCCGTTGTTTATGTGTTTTAAATTAGGAATTATTCATTTTATATTAAGTATATTTATTTTAATAAGGATAAGCATGTGATTAAGGTGTATGTGTTCCTTTAAGGTATGTGGTTTTGCTTTTATTGTTAACTGTTGTGTTTGGCCCCCATTTTCATATTTTGATTTATGTAAGACCGCCTCTGTTTTAAATATTCATGAAATAATGTTATCGTATGTATTGTCATTTAAATATTCAGACGATACAATTTAGCCCGTAGACTACGAATGTATCCCTATAACAGATGAATTAATATTCAACGAAGTGCGTTGGTGTAAAAAGTAGCAAACAAGCGGAACATCAGGCAAAACCCGTTTAAACATGAAGAACGTGGAATGGCCGTCCACGCGGGACGCACTTCTGCCAAGCAGAAGTGTTCAAACGGTGTGCTGCTGTTGGACGGCCTGAGTTTATTGGGGACTACATATAATTCAAGTGTATAAATTGACTTGAAATCTCAATGGCGTTTTCCTCTAGAAGTTATCGCAAAGATCATGGGAACTCACTCGCAAGAAAGCTGCAGCTCTAAACAAAACAGGAATACAGCATGCACAGACTGGGATTCCCGCCAAAAACTCCACCAACAGCTTTTAATTAGACCAACCTTTGCGAAGTGATGCTAAAACACGGTCAGTTTCAAAAAGCACAAGCTAATCTTCATTAGTATAAGTGATTTCTTTGGTGAAACATTCTAAACTATTTTTATTTATCACTGAATGGCACTACGTGAGAACCACTTTCGCAAAAGCACAGCGTTCGTCTATTTTTATGCACTTTCGTACAAACTCCACGGATTCTTTCGGCCGAAAAGGAATTTATGGCTCCCAGGAGCAATGAAGTGCGTCTTCCATTCGTATTTTTCAGTCCGTCTCTTTCAAACATGGAAATCCGCGAACAATTAAATTGTATGGAGTCAACCGGGCATTGAAATATTAAAAACGTGCATGTTTTTCGGCCGCCTTATTATGTCACACGGGACCGACTGCGGTGCAGCGCATACAGTGATTCTCGGTAGGCGTTTGCCTTGACAGATTTTCAGTTAAATTGTTGACGCGATATTCCAGTGGCAACTCAACAAAGCTTACATTCCTTGGATGAATGCGCATGC